TCCTGGAGCTTATGCCCCTCACCTAGCTGATGGCGCCAGCACCCACCCAGCGCCCACCTAGCGCCCCTGGTGTGGTTCCCACCATAATCCCTTTCTTGGGAACTTTGCAGGCCCTCTTTTTGACATGCATCTCATCTTTCCCTTCTGCATCTACTCCACACTTTTGCCAGAGTGATCACTCTGACAGTGAGGTTTTTAATTTTGAGAGAGGAAGGGAGAGAGAGAGAACCACCGATTTTTCATTCCAGCCATTTACGCATTCAGTGGTTGGTGCCAGCGTGATCAGTCTGCAAGCACAGATCTGCCCACATTACTCCCGATTCTCAAGTTTGAGATTACTCCTGGCCAAGATCCTATGTGTGATCCTTCCGGCCCAACCATAGGCCAGTTCATGAGGGAAACTAGTGTCATGGGAAAAGCCACCCTTCCCAGAGTCAACATACTGGAATTTTCTGGATGGTGTTGCAGGCAAGAACTTAGACACAGGCGCCTCCTCCTGGGGGCTTCCTTACTGAGGCCTCCATAAAGCACTTTTCCCCACCCTGACTCAGCTGCTTTCCACTGCTTGCCCTTCCCCCTGTCCTCCAGCCCTGGCCCCTCCTGTCCACAAAAAAAAGCAAGAAAGCGCCTTTTGTCCAGGGCCCCTCTGTACAGGCAGGCATCGCTCCCTCCACGCTGCCTGTCATTGTCCTACCCGTGCCTGCCGTCTCCTAGACAGCAGACATTTGTTTGGCGTCGTATTTCCAGTGATTGGCACATCAAAGGCCCTTGAAAAGTGTTGACTTGGTCAACCGTTTGTTTGCACATACAATGTAACCGTTGAAGAGATTCATACACTTGGCTAATCTACTTGTGTATATCCAGACCTTGGCCTTGTCGGAGTCGGCTTTCTCAGTGCGCATGTGAACTCCGAATTGCTGCACCTGAGACACAAGGTGGGTTAGTTAGATGTCTTGGCAGGATCCTGATGCTGTTCTCTCTTCAACTCTGAAATACTTGGGCATTATTATAAAATTTGAGTCTGGACCAGGCATTGCCACTTCCTGACGCTCATTACATGTTTTTAAAATAAAAATACAGAAACATACAGTCTAACGCAGTAATATTTAAAAGTCTGTAAAAGGCAGAAAACTGTATTTGAACAATTAAAATAAAAAATAAAAATAAAAAAAGTCTAAAATGTTTTTAAAACAAAGGAGATAGTAGGATAAAAACTGTTTACATGTTACTCTGCATTAATGGAATCATGTAAAAAGGGATACTATCTACAAAGTCAGGCATCAACTGAATGAAAATCAGTGTTTATTCTGAGTTAATTTCAAAATTATACCATGTAAGTGACTAACATTCTCTGTTGGATACAGTTCAAAATGTGCCTAATAATGGATTTCTTCCCAGACTGCTTACAAATTTGTTTAAGCATGAAAAAGCTAAATTTTATTTGGCAAGGATAATGCACATTTTGCTTTCTACTCATGAAAGGCATCCATTTACTACTATTAGTAAATATGTTTTGCAATTAATTTCTAAACAAATTTTCAAGATTAGGTTGTAATTGAAAAGCTTTGATAGTATCTATTGTGAGACAAAATTTGGAAGTAAAAATAATGAAACCCTTACTCATAAGGAGTAAGAATGTTTAATAATGCCAAGTAAACTGCAAGTCTGCCTAGTTAAAAAATTGGCTTTGCCTTTTTCATACACAATGAGTAACTAGTACTAGCTAGTCAGCTAACAGGAGAAATATTTGCTGTTTACATCCCATTTACCACTAAGCCAGTAGAAGAGGACAGATAAATGTTTGTGGAATGGAGAAAATTTGGGATATTTATATACAAGGATCCTTCAGATGGTTACAACAGTCAAATCTCTGTTTTCATCTGCATTCATCTGTCCATCATGTACTTTTTGAGCATCTACTATATGTACTTTGCTAGTATCTGGAACTATAACATTGTAAGTTAAAACCAATGAATTACTTTCTAGTGGGAAAGACAGGTAATAATCAAATAAGAAGAGTGATGAATATCTAATCATGGACTTAGGGAAACAGGGTTTTATAAAGTATATTAGGAAGGTAGCTGAATTGATATCAGGGGACACTTATCATCAGAGAAACTGATACTTGAGCTGGGTTGTGAAGGATTCGTAGAAGTTTGTTAGGTGAAAAAAGCTGAGGAGCGAAAGGAAAGCAAGTATTCCGGGCAAAGAGAACAGCAACAGCATAACTCTGTGCTCCAAGAGAGAAATCCAGCGAGGCTGGACCACAGAGCATCAGGGAGTAATGCAAGATGAGCCTGGGAAGGATGGCATAAGGGAGATGGAAAGAAGGCCACGTGGAAGACTGTAGTCTTACTCCTAAGAAATGAAAGACAATTAGTGGATATAAACTGGAGGGTAACACAATCAGATCTGCACATTAAAAAGACCACTCTTTCAGCCCTGGCTGGCGTAGCTCAGTGGATTGAGCACAGGCTGCGAACCAGAGTGTCACAGGTTCGATTCCCAGTCAGGGCACATGCCTGGGTTGTAGGCCATGGCCTCCAGCAACCGCACATTGATGTTTCTCTCTCTCTCTCTTTCTCCCTCCCTTCCCTCTCTAAAAATAAATAAATAAAATCTAAAAAAAAAAAGACCACTCTATCATCAATGACAGAAGCAGAGAACAATACAAAAGCAGTCAGAGCAGAGGGTGAGGTGTGGTGGAGGCTTGGATTAACACAGTGGCTGTGTGCACATGCCAGACATTCAGGATGCAGGGCGAGAGGGCTCGGTGATAGGTGGGTGTGGACTTGAAGGAAGGAAGAAAACCTGAGGGATGACTTGCTCAACCTGATGGAGGGTGGTGTCATTTGCTGAAATAAGGGACGTCAAAGGAGGGCCAGGTCTAGGGATATATTATACAGGTCTTGGATGTGTTGAGGCGCCTTTGAGACATGGAGATACCTAATGGGAGCCAGCTGGATGGATGTGGGGCTCAGAGGGAATCCAAGCCTAAGAATGCAACAGAGAAAGAGCAATGAGTTTTTGGTGAATGCACAGAAGACATGCTTTGGAAAGGAATGACAGGAGAAAAGTAAAAAAAAAGAAAAAAAGCAATTGTAAATTGAAAAATACATAACACAGTGAACATACTTTATAATGTTAATACTGGAAAATAATAACTTGCTTTATGAATAATAGAAATAGTAAGAATTTGGGCTTAGCGAGCACGTGGTATTATGTCAAACAAACAGCAGAGTCAAAATTCCTGGCCATTGAAACCAATTAATCCCTGTCTTTTAGGAAGGGGTCATTGAGATCCGGTGGGGAGGTGTCACGTGTGGAAAAAAGGCTGTCTAAACCTTCAAGAGGGAGTGGGAAGAAGAAGGCACGTGGCGCTGACAAAGCTTCCCCTTAGTAAGACGACCGCGGTAAGTCACTCTCAAGACTTCCTGTCAAAAGGAGACCTTTCACTCCTTGCCATCTCGGAACCAACACCCGCGCCTGTGCCGGGCCAGGGAGTTTCACTGTAAAAGGACATTTAAGTAAACCATGCCGAAGCCAAAATCAGGTATTCATTTTAATGGACTTATGAGTATTCAAATAGAGACATTTTTTACTTTACATGTAAGCAAATTAATATTGACACTTTAATAAGGAATGCAAACCACAAATAAGTTTTGATTTTACTTAGAACAGCAAACAGTTGTTTAAAAAGGAAAACAAAAGGAAAAGTTGATCGAGGCCTCCAGTTCTTAGGCGTAAATATCTATCTCGTGTCTTCGGAATGTCTAAGTTTGTTGTTTGTTTTGGTATTTCATCTAAAATTTCCCTTCCTTTGTTTGGACACTTAACCTGAAGAATCAAAGAATTCTATACTTTTTTTACACAATCTAAGGAGGGAGTCGGTCTTTTTTATATGTCCCATTTTCCTTAAAATATGAGAAATGAAGTCCTACACTCTGCTTCCCCAGTGTGTTTGAGGGCCAAGACATAAATGATTCCCTTTCTTCTTGGCTTTAGAAGTTTCGCTCCTTCCTGTATTGCAAGAGTAAAACAATATTGAAAAGTAGATTGTGTGACATGAGTTATGTGGCAAAGTATAGATTTATGTAATAAATGGAAAAAAACTCCAAAATAATCACTTTGACATTTGTTGTAAGGTGGACAGGGGACCTTGTCCAGAATTCATGTCTAAGGTTTCAGATCAGAGAGTTCCTGATCTTTGCTGGTTCCAGTACATAACTTTTCCCCCAAATATCCTTCAGAGCAAAACTAGTCAGTCTTAAAACTGAGCCAATAAAAAAAAAGAAAAGGAAAAGAAACAAGCACACTAGAGAACTCTATGTAAAAATCATTATCAGTGTCCTCTACAAGAAGTAAACAAAATAAAGCTTGAGAAAACAAAACTGATATAATGTGCACGCTTGTTTTAGATTTCCCCAATCCAAAGGATGATGTTGAGGACCATTTTTAGGATATTTGCTGAGCATTGAGTTGCTTGGGAATGAATAAATAAATTCATGGGAGATACCAACAAGGTATGTCATCCAAATATTTGGCAGATGAGGTCTAGAAAATGGGTTGGCAGCTACTTCCTTTGGACCTCAACGCTACCGGGATATTAGTTTTTTCCTTACAAAAAGCACTCACCAGGTGCCTGTACTCAGCACTCAGATGATTTCAGTGTCAAGACAAGATCTAACAGTGATAAAATAAGATACTGCTACATCATAATTTAATAAAAACGATCTTGAATGTATATGCTATTTAAAATATTGCAAAAATGAAATGTCACGATATTGACTTTGAATGAACAGCCATCAGAAAAAAACATTATGTACACATTTAACAAGGGCAGTAATACTGCATCCAAAATATTTATTGGAAATTTTGAATGAAGGAGCCACAGCATAACTCAGCATGGACAGAGACATCCCGGCGTTCTACTTCGTCAGAATCAGACCTAAGTTCTCAGCAGCAAGCAGGAGACTCAGAGAATGCTGACTTTCATTACAAACTTTATTTGTCAGTACAATTCACAGTTTATACATGGTGCAATCCACCATACGAACTTCCAGAACAGTTATTGAGGAAATGGATGTAGCTTTCTTTCTAAAAGAGCCTGACCTTCTAAAATTTCAGTTAGAATTTTTTTCAGTTTATAAAAGTACCTTTAACAAGTTAATTGAATATGTACAATTGTAGCTTAAATTTAACTTTTGGAAAATAAGCATCTATTAAGTTGTTTTTATTTTAAGATCCCGGGCTTTTTATTAAGACTCTAATATGAATGCCACTTATTTAGATACCCCCCAATAGTAAAAGAAATGTCTTATAATTATATTCAGGGAAATCATTTTCTTTCTGCATTTTCAAAATTATATATACAATGTACAGCAGATCTAAGTATGAAAATAAAAGAAAGAGTAGCAATCTATTAGGTGCCTTTACTGAATTTCTTCTGAATTTTGGAAACATCCAAAGAGTTACAGGCTATCAAATTAAACTAAAAAGGATTATCGGCCTTTTCTATTAAAAAACAAAACAAAACAAAACCTCTCAAGATGTAAATTGTGCTATAACAGCTTTTTCTCTAATGTCCGAGTTATGCCTACAGCCCGCATTTTCCTTAGGCAAAGTCACAGTGGTCCCAGTTTCAACCCAATCACGACTCCAGAGGGACACCCACGGAGGGCCAGGCCCATGCCCGGCCCTGCCTGCTGCCTCTCCTCCCCCCATCTGGCAAATGTCATCCAAGGAAAGAAAATCATATAAGCCTTTCATACAACAAAAAGCAAATCAATGCTGGCAGTATAATGTTTATTAGCAAATGCTTGTAACACACTGGTTTGCTATCTTCTTTTTATCAGAATGGTAATTCACACCAATTGTCTTAAGTTGCCTCTAGTAATATCCATTTTTTACAGTTCTCTTCTGTCTGATCATATATATATATGTATATATATATACATATGCATATATATATGGATTTTCTTCTTCCACCTTTAAAAATATATAGTTATTAATAAATGGTAAATTCCAAATACTGCCAGGGAAAAAGAGACTGGGAGCAGCCATTTTTACCGGCCAGGTAATAATTACACTGTGTGTATGTACCGCTGGTACCTGAGTCAAATAAATACTCAGAGGGGCCATCTGGGCACCTCCTTCCTCTGCAGTGCCTTTTACGCTAGGGTTTCTGAGTGTTGCTTCAATGTCCATCTAACTTGGCATCTACTCCTTCTTCGGGAATCATCACTTCAGTCACTTACACGCTGTTTCCAGCAAGGTAGGGTATTCAAATGGGAGTCCCGGGGTAAAGGACTGCAGGTGAGCCTACGGGTGGGGCGGGGAAGGAGAAACCACACATTAGCTAGAGAGGTTCTGTTTCTTCTTAAGATAAGGCACTGACAGAAAATTTCTTAGGTGAAAGGCTGCGTAAGAATCCCTTGCCATTTACAAACAGAAATGTTGTCTTCCGTAAGTTGTCCATATCTAGGCTCAGTTAGGTAGACCCTGAAAGGTTAAGGACTGATCCCTCGAAGCTACATGATTACCAGGAACAATTATCATTCACTCTGAAGCCTTATGGCACGTCAGGGAAAAGGGAGGAGAACAGTCTGGGCACAAAAAGGCATCAGACATTGCTTGTTTTATTCCACTGGTCACAGGAAGTGGACTGCTCCACAAGCATCATCAAAAAGATAGTGCTGGCTCAGAATTCCAAATCCTCTCGATGGTAGATGGCCATGATGATGGGTGTATCTCTTTCCCCCCCCCCTTTGGAGTTCATGCACAATTTTAAAAATGCTACCAGCAACAGTCTTAAAGAGCATATAGAAGTCCTCACCTATGGCTACGCCTAAGGCTCTTCAAAGAGAAGGCTATTTAATATTCTCAATAACAGCAATTTCCTCGCCTGCACAGTGTGGCGTCAATCCGTTCAAATAGATACTTTCAGTTTTCAGTAAAGGAGGCAAGACATCCCTCTCGGTGGCCAGGTGGTTCACGGACAGGGTCCTCCTACAAGGTGTCAGCTCCTGGTTGTGGTTCCCAGCCAGTTCCGCGGAGAGCTTCCGCTTAATGGAGGTGGCGCGCTGGAACTTGTCATAAATCTCCACACTCAGCCGCCTCCGGGTTTCCTTGAACTCGGCCGTGACGTTGGCTGTCCACTCAGCAGCGTGGGCTCTGAACTCTCCCACCTGGAGCACACAGGCAGAGACAAGGCAAAAAGAGAAACCGATAGGACGGTCAACATGTGCACTTCACCTTCTGATCATTATTGGCTTTGGTGGGGTTTGAAAAGAAGACCAGCCTGTCGTCGTACTGGAGGTCTGAGAGTTGGTGTGATAAGGCTAGATGTGCAGAGCAGAGTGGCACTTTACATAGATACAGCTCTAAAAAGGAACCTGTGAGCATATACTCTTTCAATCAAATTACATGAGAGGTACAAAATGTGCTTGTTTTTTTGTGCATGAATCCTGTCATTGAAACTTCTGAAGCTGTAAAAAGAAAAGCATTCTCTCACCTTCTAAAACTTTGGGTGAATTTTTTTTCACCTGCAATTTTGAGAAGTCTTGAATACACACAGGACAGTAGAAGCAGCAGGGCAGAACAAAAGCCCAGACTGGCACCCCAGGTGGCCCAGTTGGTTTGGACAGCACGGAAGCTGCTTGCATGGGATGCAAATCCGGGTGTTAGAGACCAGGAGTGGTGTGCGCAGGAACTTTGTATCCAGCCCCATAGCGCTCACTTAGGAAACCTCTGTTTACTGAATAAACACCAGAAGATATCAGTTTTGCCTTTAGGGGAAGCAAACGAGAACCCGCAAGTCCATTTTGAGGCCCATTCTAGAGAACAAGTGAGTCCAAGGAATCGTTTTTCAGCACACACTTGAGGAACTGGTGAAGTTAGGCACCTGGCCTGCCTGAGCTCTCATTTCCTAGGCTGTGTATAGAACAGGCATCTGCACAGCACACACCTGGCAGGATGGCTGGGCTAAAGGACTTCACCTCTGGTAAGAGCCTCTGCAGTTACCGTTGTGAGCTTGCCTTTTAAGGATTAAAGAAAAAAAAATACTGCCAAGGCTTAAGCATGTGCATAATGTTTCCTCTGACCTCTATAAACTTATGTCTGTACTTTTGTGACTTAAATAGAACAATGACTAACCTCCTGGAAAATGTAATAATCCTTTCCTTAACCAATGAAGCTTCAATCCTCTAGATTGGCTGCTAGGAGCATCCCCGACTACGGAACAGTCTCCCATCCCTCTGCGGCTGGCCTTTCTGCTTTTGGCCTAGGGAACCCCACTGCACTCATTGAAAAAAAAATAAAGATTTTATTTATTTATTTTTAGAGAGAGGGGAAGGGAGGGAGAAAGAGAGGGAGAGAAAAATCAATGTCTGCTTGCCTCTCACATGCCCCCTACTGGGGACCTGGCCTGCAACCCAGGCATGTTCCCTGACTGGGAATCAAACCCGAAATCTTTTGGTACACAGGTTGGCACTCGATCCACGGAGCCACACCAGCCAGGGCTGAACTCATTTTTTAAGTCAATAACTATAGCTCTGTTTCCATTTTGTTGTTTTAATCTCTGTTGATTTTTGTTTTTAAACTTTGATATGAGGAATATAACTGATGGTTTCTGCTGCAGCCTGAATTTAGTACCCTAACCCTATGCTGAAATTCCTATGATGAAATTCAAACCCCAAAGGTGATGGTATTAGGAGGTGGGGCCTCAGAGAGGTGATTAATTCAGAGGGTGGAGCCCTCATAAATGGGATTAGTGCCCGTAGGAAAGAAGCTCCAGGGAGTTCCCTAGCTCCTTCCACTGTTGGAGGACACAGCTAAAAGACTCTATCCATTTGCTCATGCTGGTTCTGTGATCCTGGACTTCCAGCCTCCAAAACCGTGAGAGATAAATGTTTGCTCTTTATAAGCTGCCCATCTGTGGTACTTGGCTACAGCAGCCTGATCAGACTAAGTCAGTTTCTAAATATTTACGCTGAAGATTTAAATTATGAAAGGGGATATCCAGGTACATAAATGTCAACATGTGTGCATACATACACGTGGATAATCATAGATGAGTGTGTGTGCACAACATGACGGAAACTGTTCAAACATCTTTGGAAAGTAGCACATTGCAGATCAGCTCTTCCTCATCCATTCATGATCACACACACACACACCTGATCTCCTTGTTTATTGTAAAGAGGTCTTTTATTTTCTACTTGTATTCTCCTAACAAGAAATAACTGCTTGGTATCTGCATCTGATGGTGAAAAAGCAAAGCTGGAAAAGCGCAAACTTCCTGGCACATGTAATTGGCAAAATTGAGCATTCCTTAATCACTGAGGCAACTGCAAGGAAACCCGCAGAGAAAGAGGGACTAAGTGACAGCAATTTCACACAGACAGACAGAGCATGGTGGCTACCAGAGGGAAGGGGATGGGGAAGGATAGTAAAGGGTCAAGGGGGGCACATACATGGTGATGGATGATGACTTGACTTTGGGTGTTGAGCATATAATGAAATACATAGATCACGTATCATAGAAATGAACACTGAAAACCCATATGACCCTAGGAACGAATGCCACCTGAATAAATTTAATAAAATAAAAAATAATAAAAATATCAAATATCAAAAATATAAATGTATAGCAATTGAGCCTGCAGCTTCTCACTGCTCCGGTAAGGGACCCTGCCCCACTGTACTCAGGTATGGGAGAGATTATTGAATGTTTCATTCTGCTTTTCAGGGACTCTCTGGTTAGAGAAGCATAGGCTGTATTAATCAGTGGTAAGACACACCTTATCATCCCATAAACATTTGTAAATAATTCCCACCACAACCATTTGTGTTGTTTTCCTGTTTACCACCCTGTCTTTCTGTTTAGATTACAAGTTCTGGAGTTCAGAGTCTGTACCATATTCATCGGTGTGTCTGGTTCAGAGCGGTACCTCAGTAGAAACTTGCTGAAGTGCACTATTAATAAATGAACACTATCTATGAAGTTTTGAATCATATTTTTATGTACAGATTTAGGGATTCGGTTGCATCTTTACCAGTTTCAATTTAATTTTAAAGACTTATAATTGCAGTCTTCTTAAAGACTGTGCTCAAGTACAGACAGAAAACCTGACTGACATGGTCATGAACAAAAGTTATTTGCAAACGTTATTAAATTCTAGTTTACACAAGCAGATGATCCTGAATGGTGTGAAATTTGCACTTCACGATAAAATGATAATTACTAATGAAAAAGTTAAAAATCCCACTGACCTTTCTTTTCACCTTACCAATGATTTTATGATAAAGGAATTGACCTATTTTATTTGAGAAGTCAGATATTTCTAAATGTAAAAAGAACAAAGGTCAACATACTTTTTTTTTCTAATATGAGGTTTTCCTAGTAGTGAGGGCAATAAAATAAAGGGAACAGGAAAGATTCTATATCTTTTGTTTAAGTCGGTGTCTGTGAAAAGTACAAGAACCAGCTAGTATATTCCATCTCCTCCCACATACAAGTGATGACCTAAATAATCAGCACTGACCCAGAAGACACCCGTCTGAGTCGGCCCCACACCATGGCTCCAGTCTTGGGCACTGTGAGAGTGGGCGGGCCGATGATGAGCTCGACCCTGGTGGTTTTATTCTGGTCACCAGTCTTTCACTGCCATGACCAGAAAGGCCACTGATGTCTCCTGGCTTTGCCTCCCTTTTCTTTGGTAATGGTCTCCTGTTGTTGTTGTTTTTTTTTTTACCTTAAAAATGTCTTCTTAGTATTCATAGTAATGGATTTGCTTATCCAAAATGCAAATGTTAATCTACTTAACTGCAGGTTTTCTATCTCCTCTAACTAGAATTAAAGATCTATGTGTCTCCCCAGCATCTAGAATATACCTGGTATGCAGCAGACTTCTAACAAAACATCTGTTAAATGAAGAAACATATCGCTGATGATGTGTGTTCTCTGGAATCTCACACCTCAATGGTCCAATTAGCAATAATGTGGCACAGACGACCAATTGGTTTTCTTCTTTATATACTAACCTTAGTTCCTTCCTCCTCCATTTGGTTATTGTTAATATTTTTGCAAAAATAGCCTTACAATAAACACATCATTTTGCAAATGGCTCCCCCACAACCAATTTTAGTCTTTTTTCCCTGTGAGTACCCATCACTCTACCTCACAGCCTTGTCAGCTGCCAGCATTCCACAGGATGGATATGGCGTGCTATGATTGATGGACTTTGGGGTCGTTTTTGTTGTTGTTCTTACTGGGTTATGTTTTTGGGGTTTTTATTTTTTTGCTATTGGTAATAAAACTTTAGTGAATATTCTTGCATCCATATCTTTGCTAATGTGTCCAAGAACCTCTAGAAGCAGGAATTCTGGTTCAAAAGGTGAATATTTTCAGATTTGGAGGACACTGAAATTTCCCTCTAATTCCCATTGTACTCAGGGTTTTTGGTAGCCCTGGTGTTTCCTCTTTCTGGACACTCTGGTGACCTCTGTGTTTTCACAAAAATGAGCATCTGATTATTGACACCTGCCCAGAAAATTCTTTAAATATTTTATTAATTGCAATCTGCAATGTAAGTGGTCATGGTAAATTGGGCAAAGAATAAAACCCTTCCTTAGACTTGATCTGAATTTTCCGAAGAAGCAAGTTGTCACAAAGTCACCATGATCCCTTACATCACGCTAACGACACACACACAAAACTTCCTGCAGAGCCAAGTGCTTCTACAAATGAGTGATTCCTGCAAATTAGGAAAAGGCTGAGTGCAAGGGAAGCTCAGACTTGTCTGAGTCCATGAACTTCTTTAATTTCTTATCTTTAATTGCACTCAATCTCTGGAAGCGTCAGGTATTCTCATCCACTTTGGGGGACATGTTTCTTTCCCCCTGATTTCTCCAGCATCACCAAGAGTGGAAAGTTAAGCTCTGCAAGTCATGAGGGTTGTAGCTGAAAAAGTCAGAAACTGGGGTGGGAGAAGCTTAGCGAAGGTGGGGAGGGGGCATGAGAGCCTCCAGTTCCAGCTCTAATCACTCACATTCTGGGTGACCACAGGCGAGCATTGTACCTTTTTTGAGCTTTGGATTCCTTATCTATGTATGAAATAAAGATGATAATAAATTATTTTGCAGAAGAAACAAGTGATGTGTGTGTGTGCATTAAAGTGTAAGAAAC